CTCTGTCTCAAAAATGAATAAATGTTAAAAAAAAAAAAAATTTTATAAAAAAATAAAATAAAAAAAAAACCCAAAGAGGAGATATACGGGTGACGTCGAGGGTGAAGGACACAGCTTTGGGAACAGCTGCGGTCATGGGAAACGAGGTGCCTTCTGGGGAAAGCGGACGACCCCGAGGGCACCTGTGCGGACCCGGGGGACCTCACCCTCCCCGAGGGACTTGGCTTCGCCTCCCCTGTCACAGTATCTGGCCGCTGCGGGTGTGCTCGCCTTCTGGAAACAAACCTTCTGTGCTCTGCCCCACCCACCCCTCTCTCCCTGGGGTCCTGCATTTTGCTCCAGGACTTACACCGCAGGATCGACGGGACCCGTTTAACCCCACCTTTGGAGGACAGCCGCTTCCATTATGGCTTCAACTCCAACTACCTGAAGAAGATCCTCTCCTACTGGCGGAATGAATTTGACTGGAGGAAGCAGGTGGAGATGCTCAACAGGTACCCTCACTTCAAGACCAGGATCGAAGGTACGTTCCCCAGACGCCGGCGGGAGAGGGGTGTGTGTCTCAGGAGCGGCCTTGTAGCTGCCGGAGGGGACCCGGACCCAACTTAGGATCCAGTTACTGGTCCTTGGGGTGTATTTACAGGCTGACCTCACTGGGGCAAAAAGAATGCAGAGTCCCCACAAATCCAGCGGGCTTTAGAGCGAGACAGGAAGACACGTCAGTAATTTGAAAGCCAGAGATACGCAGAATCTGGTCCGCCGCTCCGTGAGGGTTTGGAGTCCCTGACGCCGTGACAGCCCGGCGGTCAAGGTCCTGAGAACGATTGCCCTCCCTGTCTGCGGCTCGAGACCTGGCGTCCTGCCGCTGTGGGACGCCGCTGTCCCTCGGCATCACCTGGGAGGTCCCTTCCCGCCCAAAACTGTCTTGGCAAGGTGACCTCAAGATCATTTGGGGTGAGGGAATAGTTTCCTGGGTGGAAAAGCATTTTCCCCCAGTTCTGCTGAGAAGTAACTGACGCCCGTCAGCGGGTAAGCGTGAGGCGTGGGGCGTGATGGCTTGATTGACATCTGCTGTGAAGTGATCGCCTGGGTGGGGGG